TGTTTGTCCCCAATGTCGGTCGCGTAAAAAAATGAGAACAAAGGCTTTGCATAGGCGGCGGATACAGTTAACGTATAGATGATCTGACTATCAAGAGAGCCACAAAGAGATGAAAGATCAACTTCCTGTGTCTGTCTGTCTGTCTGTTTTCGACATAGAACTTTGCACAAATGTGCGGAAGTTCAAGTCGCCACATTCCGTGTAGCACGCGAAGCAAGAGAAGAAAGTACAAGAAAAGCATAATAGAAACAGTGAGCAGAGGTGTGAGACAAAGGAGTAATAAAGAAAAACAAAACAGTTTCATTGAAGATCATAAGTCACAGGGAGTGGATGCATCTGCGCCACTGAGAACGATTTTGAGCCATGTCACCAATTGTTTCCAACCATAGATTTTTACCGTCCCGAGGACCCCAGCCTGGAAGTCTACACCTTCCTACGTGGCTTAGACCAACTGTTGTGGATTTCATTGACTGATGCCAAGTTTTTGTTTGACCGCCGCTAGCTTTTTTCCAGCCTGACCCTATATCCGCTAACATTGCTCGTCGAGGGAGGCGATGGCTTGGCATACGTAACACATGTCCTAACCATCTCAGTCTTTGTAGCTTCACGACTTCGTCGATTGATTTCCCCTGTTTACCTAGAACTCTACGCCTAACCTCCATGTTGCTCACCTTATTATGCCACTTTACACGGGAAATAGAACGCAGGCACCTATGATCAAAGACAGCTAGTCTTTTCATGTCTTCCACTCTCAGTGGCCAGGTCTCACAACCATAAAGGAGGACGGAGCGGACTGATGAGCAGTACACCCGCCCTTTGGTCGATAGTCGAACATCTCGTCTACGCCAGAGTCGGCGTAAACTAACAAATGCGAAACGAGCCCCTTGTATTCGTGCTGAGATTTCGTCAGAGATCAGCCCGTTGGGGCTGATGGTACTTCCCAAATAAGTGAAGCGGTCAACGTGCTCTACCACTTCACTTCCTATTTTTAAACTAGGCGTCGATGTAGTCCAGTCCTGTAACATCATCTTGCATTTGGCGGGAGCGAATCGCATGCCAAACATTCGTAGATTGCGGCTCAAGGTGTTTAGAAGACTCTGCATTTCGTCAGCGTCTTCGCCTAGAAGGACTATATCGTCTGCATATTCCAAGTCAACGAGATTATTCCCCGGTAGCAAGTCAATCCCTGAGTCGCTGAAGTCACCTAGGGTTAAGTCCATTAACACATCTATGATGAAGTTGAATAGAAAAGGAGATAATGGGCATCCTTGACGGACACCACTGGTCGTCATCAGTTCAGATGACAGCTCGCCGTAAGCCCTCACCTGGCTGTATGAGTACGAGTAGAGTGCCTTAATCAGTGCAATATATTTTCTTGGAATTCCCTTTACAGCCAAGCATCTCCAGAGAACTTCCCGATCGACAGAGTCGAATGCTGCCTTTAGGTCAAGAAATATAATGACTGTTGGACGCCGGTAGGAATGCCTATGTTCTAGAATCTGTCGGAGGGTGAAGATATGATCAATACACCCTCTTCCTGGTCTAAAGCCTGCCTGGCTCTCTCGTGTTTGTGCTTCCCGAGCACCACTCAGTCTACGCATGATTATTGAGCCTAAGACTTTAGATACTATATTAGTCAAGCTAATCCCTCTGTGATTATCACAGGAAGACTTGTCTCCCTTCTTGTATATGGGGATAATCAGTGACTTACACCAACCCGATGGGACTTCTTCTGATTCCCAGACGCTGCCTAGTACCTCAGTTAATCCGGACAGTAAGCTGTCTCCACCGTACTTAAATACCTCTGGAGTCATTCCATCAGGTCCCGCTGCTTTGCCTAGTTTCAGATTGGTGACAGCTTTAGTAACCTCAGTTAGTGACGGAGGACCTGTGTCTATATCCCATTCAGGGAGGTGTTGGATGCTCGGAAGGTTGAGCGTGGCTGTGGGCAAATTAAACTGCTCCTCATAATGCTCTTTCCAACGATCCAGTCGTCTATCCTGGAGCTAATTATAGTGCCATTTTTTTCCGAGATTGTCTCACTGATGATTTGTCTTCTCCCACCCGTTTCCCTGATGAGTCCAAAGAGTTGCCTGGTGTTGCCTATCCTCAAAGCTTTCTCCATCTCTTTGGCTTTTGTCGCCCACCACTGTTCACGGTCCTTGCGGAGACTTTTCGTAAGTTTCCTCTTGTGCAGCTTTCGCTCCTCATTGAATTCGGAGCTCGCCGGAATAAGTCTTCTAGCATCTATCAGTTCGGATGAGGCGGTGGAGATCCAGTGGTTTTTACTCACCTTTGGGTTTACCTTATTCACAGCTTTTACAGCTGTATCTATGGCTGCCTGGATATTTTTCCAAGCTTCTTCAGGGTGAGCACAGCTGTCGAACACAGATATGTGTTTAGCTAGTTCTTCCTGAAATACGGATTTAGTTTCCTGATCGAGCTGGGGACGTGATGGTTTTACCGCCAGCTGTTTCCTACGTCCGTTCAGTCGTAAGCACACCCGAGCGCGGACCAGTGCATGGTCGGTATCTACGCACGTGTTCCAGAAGGAGCGACAATCTCCTACCGACCCACGCCAACGATAGCTTATTGCTATGTGGTCTATTTGTGTCCAGCGTTGGTTTGATGAAGGGGGTCTCCAAGTCAAACAGTGTCTCTCCTTGTGTTTAAAGTTAGTGCTTACAAGAAACAAATGATTATCAGAGCAGAACTGTAGGAGACGGTCACCGTTGTCGGTTCGCTGGCACGGAGCTCCATAGGTGCCACCGACATCCTTCTCAGATTGACACAATTTCCCTACTTGAGCGTTAAAGTCACCAGCTAGAACGACTATGTCTGAGCGTTTAGCCTTTCCCACCAAACTAGACAACTTCCTGTGAGAAACAACCAATTAGAGGACTGTATTTTTTGCTAACAATAGTCTATCATAATGTACATGAAAATCTATAAATATGTGTTGGTTTCGTAAATAAACGATCTGTTGCCTGGCCCTTGTCTTCTGTTGTTATATTTCGTGTCGCTGCCTACCGACAAATGGAAAGCCTATTCCCTGCAGTTTTTGATGGAGACATATAGATCTTCGTGCAGGAATTCGAGGCTTTTGCGCAGTTGAGTGGCGTTCAAGATCTGTCAGCGATGAGGCTGCTACTTGGGACGCTGCTGGGAGGTCGGGAGAAAGCAGCATATGAAAGTGTGAGGCGAAATACTGACGAATGTGCTACAGGGTCAGGCAAACAGTTTCCGTCAAGGATGCCAATTATCCCCGTTTCTATTCAATTTCATCATAGATGTACCAACAGACTTAAGCCTAACTGACTTCAGCGACTGAGGGATTGACTTGCTACCGGGGAATAATCTCGTTGACTTGGAATATGCAGACGATATAGTCCTTCTAGGCGAAGACGCTGACGAAATGCAGAGTCTTCTGAACACCTTGAGCCGCAATCTACGAATGTTTGGCATGCGATTCGCTCCCGCCAAATGCAAGATGATGTTACAGGACTGGACTACATCGACGCCTAGTTTAAAAATAGGAAGTGAAGTGGTAGAGCACGTTGACCGCTTCACTTATTTGGGAAGTACCATCAGCCGACGCCAACGGGCTGATCTCTGACAAAATCTCGGCACGGATACAAGGGGCTCGTTTCGCATTTGCCAATTTACGCCGACTCTGGCGTAGGCGTGATATCCGACTATCGACCAAAGGGCGGGTGTACTGCTCATCAGTCCGCTCCGTCCTCCTTTATGGTTGTGAGACCTGGCCACTGAGAGTGGAAGACATGAAAAGACTAGCTGTCTTTGATCATAGGTGCCTGCTCTCTATTTCCCGTGTGAAGTGTTATAATAAGACGAGCAACATTGAAGTTAGGCGTCGAGTGCTGGGTAAACAGGGGGAATCAACCGACGAAGTCGTGAAGCTACAAAGACTGAGATGGTTAGGACATGTGTTATGTATGCCAAGTCATCGCCTCCCTCGACGAGAAATGTTAGCGGATATAGAGTGAGGCTGGAAAAAAGCTAGCGGCGGTCAAACAAAAACTTGGTATCAGTCAATGAAATCCACAAAAGTTGGTCTAAGCCACGTAGGAAGGTGTAGACTTCCAGGCTGGGGTCCTCGGGACGGTAAAAATCTATGGTTGGAAACAATTGGTGACATGGCTCAGATGCATCCACTCCTTGTGACTTATGATCTCCAATGAAACTGTTTTGTTCTTCGTTATTACTCCTCCTTTGTCTCACACCTCTGCTCACTGTTTCTATTATGCTTTTCATGTACTTTCTTCTCTTGCTTCGCGTGCTACACGGAATGTGGCGACTTGAACTTCCGCACATTTGTGCAAAGTTCTATGTCGAAAACAGACAGAAACAGTCTCCAAAGTGGGAAGGACCACATATGGTCCCGTCGAGATGGGGTTACACAGACACAATCGCAGTGGCAAACAAAGAGAAACGAATGAACACCAGCGACCGCCAAGATTCCAGACAACAAGAAAAACAAACAAAGCGCCTACAACCAAGAAGACCGAACCAACTTCAGTCGCAAGTCTTTAACGGGGGGACGAGTGTGGTGAGAGCTGGCTGCTAGCCAAAAGTGGTAGACAGTAATTTACGTCAATGTGCATGTCCCAAATATTGGTAGTGAGAAAAACACGAACAAAGACTGATTCAACAAGCAACCACAGCACACTTTGCGTAGGCGGATACAGTTAGTATATACATGATCTGACATCCAAGAAACAGCCAAAAAGAGATGAAAGATCAACTTTCTGTGAGAAACAACCAATCAGAGGACTGTATTTTTTGCTAACAATAATCTATCATAATGTACATGAGAATCTATAAATATGTGTTAATTTCCTTAATAAATGATCTGTTGCCTGGCCTTTGTCTTCTGTTGTTACAATGTAAGTTAACTTCACACAAAACGTCTTGTATACCAAAAGATATAAACCATCAAAATCATGTGTAATAATAATAACAATAGCATAAAAGCTTACTTGTCTAATCTGTTGTGAATACTCTTCATTTGACATGCCAAGAAATGCTTCTGAATACTTGACTGGATCACTTAATACAATCCCAGAGATTAATTCTCTCAACTGGCTAACAGCTGTCACATTTGTTACAACTTCTGTGCCTATTTTTAATCGGCTATCATGATTATTTATACAGAATAAAGCACTTGTAAATAGACAAGAATTATCCGATGGTGCACACAGTCGGACAACACGTGGTTCTAATGAATTATTGACTATTTGTGTATTTGTGTTTGCTGGTGTTGTGGTTGTTGGTGTTGCTGTCGTTGTCGCTGCTGTAGTAGTTGAAGCATTAGCCATCGGTATTCCACGATTATATGAATGTAACTGTGAGTTAACTGAAGAAGCCGGTGACTTCCTCTCACCGATTACATCATCAACTGTTATTAAATCACCTGAACGAAGAGGGATCTGTTAGATATAAAAAGGAGATAACAAAAGAAAGCACAACAACAACAACAACAACGAAAACACTTATTGAATACTGGAGACTAGTAGTAAGTTCAAACACGATGAAGAGGTCGTTGGATAACACAAGATGCCAAGCCCTAGAGTGGAATTCGAATTGGAAGCAACCAGTTGGATATATGTGACCGAAGATGATATGGAGAAAATCGTGTGAGTAGGATATGAGCTCGCAATGTAACCAGAAGGTCCTGGGTTCGAACCGTGACGGTGGGTGCGTACTGATGAAGAGTCCAAAACTAGAACGAAGCAGCTGTCCAGTACTCCCAGCTGGCTTCGCAGTGGTTTTCTAAATGATATCAGCTCATGATGAAATCCTCCACGCATTCCCTATATTTCACCGAAAAACAAGACCTTTCCTAAAGTAACGCTAAGAGTGATATTCTCTAGCCGTTCACTTTTTCTACGCAATGAGAAGAATGTATCCTCGTATAATATCACTACCCCAAAACACGTGCATATATCGATTCACTTGCTTCTGTGTGGAGCTGGCTACATAGATGGTTCTATGTGCGTCCTTTCCAAACGTGTCAGACAGCACTACTCAGTATGGCTGTAAAGAGGCGGTACTTATGTAACAACAGAAGACAAGGGCCAGGTAACAGATCATTTATTGAGAAAATCAAGAGGTATTTATAGATTTTATCTACATTATTATTAGCGAGCCAACAGTTTTTAGCCATCGTCTCCAGGACCTCAGAGAAAGGAGCCTGCAAATTCCTGTATGGTTGACTGACGACAGTCCATGATTTTACAGAACAAGGACCCGTCCGATAGCTGCTACCTTGAAGTGATGGTCGGGATTGCACATCGCGATAACCCAACAAGCTGCACTGGCTGGAACCAATGTTCCTACAGGTCCTACCATGCCAGGAAGGTTGTTAGGATACCGATTAGACTAAAAGCAGTTACCGGAATTGTGTAAGAATCTTTCTTACACTATGCTGGGTGAAGTCGTACTGTTGGGAAATAGGGTGTAACAGCAGTGAGGTGTTTCCCTTAGATGACCAGAGCATGCCAGCTATCTATGCTGTCTCTCTACTCTGCAGAGAGAGGGTTAGAAAAGGTCGACCCCAAAAATTGTACATCCCGACTTACTCTACCACCTACGGTGGTCCGTAACCAGTGGTAAGTTTACTATTATGGAACCAATCTCGGAAACCAATTCATACAGGCCGTGTGTGACCGGCTGACCACAAGCAGTTGTCCTCTGCAGTCACGCAATACTAACCCTCTTTTTGTTTCAGGTACCCAAAGAATCAATCAACTTCCACGGTGTGGGCAGCCAGGAAGTAACAACCGCCCACACACACTTCCAAAAGCACACGAAGCCTTCCTGATAGGTTGAGGTCAAGTTGTCTTTTTTTGGTATGATCATCTCTAACACTTTTCCAACCTAATCCAATGTCGGCTAGCATTACTCGAGGGGGATAGGACGGGCAGTGGCTTGGGATACGTAGATGATTTAAATTAAAATAATAAAAATAATTAATACAAAAAAAACAGCGCAAGCATTTACTAACCTCATGTAGACGTCTTGTAAGACAGGCAGCAGTACTACAATCCAACTTTCTTGGTGGATATCCATAGAATAAAGACAAGCAAGTTGATGGAATGCCAATAAGTGATGTAATCGCTTGCAGTAAATCATGCAGAGTTGAATTCACCGTGAGACCATTCAATGCATATTGTCCAGTACGATAACGACAACGTAGTTTGAATAAATCGTTGCTGGATGAAGTTAACTGACATGTTTGCATTTGTATTGACCCAAAAATTAATCAGTTAGTATTTATTATTCAGTGATAATAATGATGAATGATCTATCTAAAAATTATTTTGAAAAAAAAGAAAAGGATGGTTTTTAATTCAACAATTCTCATTCTTTACAGGATTTCATCATGAGCTGACATCAGATTTAGAGAACCATTGGAAAACCCACCTGGAAGTACTGGACAACTAGCTGTTTCGTCCTAGTTTGGGACTCTTCGTCAGTACTCACCCACCACCACCGTTCGAATCCAGGACTTTCTGGTTACAGGGCAAGCTCGTATATCATTAAGCCGCTGGGACCCGATCTAATGACTAGCCCATGAATTCTAACTTCTACCAGCCAATTCACGATATAGCGCGACCCATAGCCAATGTCTTCTGTGGCGAGTATTCGTCCTCACACCCGACCTGCTGAACCCTACTGGTCACGACTTCTCACTAGAACCCCAGGTAACGAACTACCTACCTGAATACGGCAAGTCGCTAGTGAGCATCTCATTGATATTTAAGTGTTGGTTTGTAGGGATTTGATTCTCATTCTATATTACTTTAAGAATACAAGTAGTTCAGTGAAGAGTGAGTGGCTCTTTTCAAAGAATTTATTATCAAACTGTACACACTCGGAAGATGCGTCCATGGTAGAAATGCTCGCCAATCAAACCTCACATGGTTTGAGTTGGATTTTCAGCCACCGAAGTACGCCGATACCTCAGTTAACCACCAGCAAACTTGATGGTATAGATTTTTGTCATGAATCAACCCATCAGTTAGACAGGGATCATTGAAAACCAGCTCCAGGGAGAACTGGAGCACTCGGACTACTATTCAGAAGTGCCCATCTACATTTATCCTCCTACCGATAGGGATCAAACCACGCCTGGACCTTCAAATTATGAAATGCATCTAGTTAACCATTCACTGCTGGCTTGAGCGAGACGGAATTCAAGTGACTCCTGAATTTCATTGACATGGTTTCATCAATCAATGAAATCCACAACAGTTAGTTTGAAGCAGCCATGTAGGAAGATGTAGACTTCCTGACTGGATGGAGTCCTCCGGACGGTTAAAAACCAATGGCTGGAGACAATCGGTGATATTCCTCAAAATCTAGCGCAGATGCATCCACTCCTTGTGACTTATAATTTCCAATGAAACTATATTGTTCTTCTTCGATATTACTATTCCTTTGTCTCACACCTCTGTTTACTGTCTCTCTATTATGCATTTCTTTTTACTTTCTTCTCTTGCTTCGTGTGCTACATGGAGGGAGTGTGACGACTTGAACTGGTGCAAATTGGTGCAAAGTTTTATGTGGACAACACACAGACAGACAGACATGTCAAATGAGATCAGATGTTTGTGCTTATGATTATAGTTCAGTATCAAGCTATATAACCAATTATGTCATATACACAGAATACTCCATAGAATGTATAAGCTTTGGATAGGGGTTGTAAACTGATGAATAGGATTAATAGGCAAATACAGACATTAAGTAATCTGGTGAAAAGTTTGTTAAAACCTATTTTGACTTATTGACAAAAAGCACGAAAGAATGAAAACAATGTAAACTGGACACTAAAAGACAATTAATTCCAGAAGAAATCATCTTCATGAATTTTGGCATTCAAACAAAGATAGTCAGGTTTCGGATATACTCATAAATCAATCAGTAAGACGAAGTCATTTGTAGTGAAACTACGACTGACCTTCATTTGTGTAAAAACATAAACTCCCTTGTCTGACCCTCTCCATGTGCCTCCATCTATCCGTTCAGTTATTCTTGGGGAGTAAGACAAATAGGCCGTAGCCAAGAAACACCTTCCATATGGATACAAAAGAACATTCCATCATCTTTTTGCAAAGGAGAAAGGAAGAATGTGAGAAGTTTTATTCTAGAACACTTGATCAACTTCTGTTACTCAACGAAGCCACCCTCATGATGAATCTAAGATCATTTATCGAATTCATGCTAATTTCTGCCATAGTTTCCCCTTTCCAAAATTTTTAAAGACAACAGAGCCACTGGTAATTCATGAATTTAAGCTAATCTTTTGTGTGCACAAAGAAAGCATGTACCATCCCTGATACCACTATGGCGGTAGAATAGAAAGGAAGGATAAAACATTTCTATTCATTTCCCATTACTTACGACTAGACAGTTTCCCATATTATATCATTTACTATTTCAAACTAGTATATATTTTTTTATTTAATTCAATTTCGACATTTCCATCGACTGATTGAACCAAAGTCCTCGGTCTCAGGTTGACATGTTGGCTACTTGTGCAGATGCTGTCTGTCTGTGTGTTTTCGACATAGAACTCTGCACATATGTGCATCCATTCAAGTCTCCACACTCCCTCCATGTAGCACACAAATCAAGAGAATAAGGTAAAAAGCAATGCATAATAGAGACAGTAAACAGAGGTGTGAGACAAAAGGAATAGTAATGTCGAAGAAGAACAATATAGTTTCATTGGAAACTGTAAGTCACAGGCAGTGGATGAATTTGAGCTAGCCACTGAGAACGGTTTTTAGCCATATCACCGATTGTCTCCAGCCTCCATTGGTTTTTACCGTCCCGAGGACCCCAGCCAGTCAGGAAGTTTACATCTTCCTACGTGGCTGGTTGGTTGTGGATTTCATTGACTGATGAAGTTATGTTTTGGTTTGACCGCCGCTAGCTCTTTTCCAGCCTGACCGTATGTCAGCTAACATTTCCCGTTAGTCGAGGAAGGCAATGACTAGGCACACGTAACACATGTCCTAACCATCTCAGTCGATGTAACTTCACAGCCTCGTTGATTGATTTTCCCGCCCTAACTACCACTCGACAGAAGCCTAACCTCAATATCGCTCACCTTGTTATACCACTTCACACGGAAGATAGAACGCAGGCACCTATGATCGAAGACAGCTAACCGGCCTTTTCATGTCTTCCACTCTCAATGGCCAGGTCTCACTCGCAGTGATAAAGCAGGACAGAGCGGACTGATGAGCAGTACACCCGCCCTTTGGTCGATAGCCAGCCGGATATCACATCTACGCCAGAGACGGCGCAAACTGGCATATGCGAAACTAGCCCTCTGTATCCGTTCTCAGCTGAGATTTCGTCAGAGATCAACCCGTTGGCGTCGGCCGATGGTACTTCCCAAATAAGTGAAGTGGTCAACGTGCTCTACTACTTCACTTCTTTTTTCTAAACTAGGAGTCAGTGTATTCCAGTCAGTCCTGTAACATAATCTTACATTCGGTGGGAGCGAATCGCATGCCAAACATTCATAGATTGCAGCTCAAGGTGTTCAGAAGACTCTGCTCTATTTTGTCAGCGTCCTCGCCTAGTAGGACTATATCGTCTGCATATTCCAAGTCAACGAGATTATTCCCTGGTAGCAAGTCAATCCCTGAGTCGCTGAAGTGAGTTAGGGTTATGTCCATTAGTACATCTATGATGAAATTGAATAGAAATGGGAATAATGGGTATTCCTGACGGACACCACCAGTCGTCACCACTTCAGATGACAACTCGCCATAAGCCCTCACCTGGCTGCATGAGTACGAGTAGAGTGAGTGCCTTGATCAGTGCAATGTATTTTCTGTTATTTCATTTACTATTTTAACTAGTATATTTTTTATTTTATTTAATACACTTTCAATTTTTCCGTCGATTGATTTAACCGAAGTGCTCGGGGTCTCAAGGTTGACAGGTCTGTCGGCTTTTTGTGCAGATGCTTCGACAAATGTCTGGGGTCATGTGACTTGAAGTCAATTGGTAGGTGGTGATTAGTAGTGGAATTCAAGATGAGCATTTTGTCCTATTCGGGACAAATGTTCAAAATCTGTCTTATCAAACTTCTCTCCGTGTTACGCAATCCTTTTTATTTATCTACTAATCCTATTAATTAATCTTACAATCCTGTCCCAAGACCTATAACGCTCTATGAACTACTTCATATACATTATAATTTTTTATATCCCACACATACTTGGTACATTATAGACGCTAAGAGATGTCTGTGAGGGCTGGGATACTGCCCGGAGGCCTACACCGAAGTAGATCGTTGTTTCGAAGACCCCTCCCCGCCAACCTACCCCCCGAGCCTTTGACTTGAAGTCTGATCTCCAAGACAATAGAGCTACGTTCCTAAGGTTGTTGGTGCCCGAAAGTGATTCATACACCCTTCTCGATCCATTTTGAATTCTGGAGTCCATGTGTATACCATAGGTTTGCTGGAATTAGGACTTTCAAGATCCTTTCCTAGAAAGATCAGCACTTCTGTCAGTCCCGTTATAACTGCTACACTGTCTCCTAGCTTAGAAATAGGAAGTGAAGTGGTAGAGCACGTTGACCGCTTCACTTATTTGGGAAGTACCATCAGCCCCAACGGGTTGATCTCTGACGAAATCTCAGAACGGATACAGAGGGCTAGTTTCGTATATGCCAGTTTACGCCGTCTCTCGCTTAGTAGACGTGATATCCGGCTGGCTATCGACCAAAGGGCGGGTGTACTGCTCATCAGTTCGCTCTGTCCTCCTTTATCACTGCGAGTGAGACCTGGCCATTGAGAGTGGAAGACATGAAAAGTCAGGCTAGCTGTCTTTGATCGTAGGTGCCTGCGTTCTATCTCCCGTGTGAAGTGGTATAACAAGGTGAGCAATATTAAGGTTAGGCTACGATCAACTTCTAGGTAAGCAGGAGCAATCAATCGACGACGCTGTGAAATTACACTGACTGCGGTCAAACGAAAACATGTCACCAGTCAACGAAATCTACAACAGTTCGTTTAAGCCAGTCACGTAGGTAGGTGGAGACTTCCTGACTCGCTGGGGTCCTCAGGACGGTAAAGACCAATGGTTGGAAACAATTGGTGATATGAATCAAAATCCTTGTTGCCAATGGCTGTCGCAGATGCATCCACTCCTTGTGACTTATAATTTCCAACGAAACTATATTGTTCTTCTTCGACATTACTATTCCTTTGTCTCACACCTCTGTTTACTGTCTCTATTATGCATTTCTTTTTACTTTCTTCTCTTGCTTCTTGTGCTACATGGAGGGAGTGTGGCGACTTGAACTGGTGCACATTGGTGCAAAGTTCTTTATCGAAAACAGACAAACAGACAGACAGTTATAACTGCTAGACGATAGGATTCGCTCTATCGCTTGAATGCAATGAATACAACATGCCTAGTGGAGATCGTGACTGACCAACTGAGTTTCAACATAAAATCTAGCAAAGAAGTACAGCAGTTCAAGTTGCCACAGTTCATACAGCATACAAAAAGGACTGAGAAGTACACACTATCCTAAACGAAAGTTTACAGGAGAAAGAATACTAACATGGAAAAACACTAAAGTTTAGTGGATATTAGAGATCGCAAAGGGTGAATGTAATCGCACCACTGGGAGAGATTTTGAACCATATCAGCAACAGTCTCCAAGCATTGGCTCTTAGCATCCCGAGGACCTTAAACAGACTCAGACTAACAGTCAAAGACTTTGGTTTGACCATACTTAACTATTTACTAACCCTATTCCCATATCAGCTAACACTCCTCTAGGTAGAAGGCAGTGAGTGACTCAGTATGGGCATAACAGATGTCCAAACCATTTCAATCGATGTATTCACACAGCCTTATCGACTGACTTACCTGGTACCGGAGGCTATGAAAGCGTGATCACACAAGAGCTTTCCCAGAGGAAGACCAAAGTCTACCACCCACCGTCGACACCACGTACCTCATGACTATAATCAAAAACAGTTTAATTGCATTTCAGAATATGATCGATATAAGTGTCAACACCTTTTGTTTAAATTTCCTAAAAGGATATCGTGCGTCGGTGGCAGTTTTTTTTTAAAACTTTACATATATATGTACGATTATACAGCTTGATGAATTTATTGAAAAGAGTCACTCTTCGCTAAATCACTTGTGTGCTTAAAAAAGCATGGTTATCGCAAAAGGATATCAAATCGAGCGGATATCGGGAAGGAGAGAAACACACACATTCATCAACCAACTGAAACCAATCTCGAAATCTTCGTCACTCAGCCAGCATCAACAATGAAATTCAGTCGAATTTTCAATACAAACGTCAAGTCAGTCAGTTCTTCTATACGGAACGGATCAGAAACTTGGCGAGCGGGTCACAAAGAATATTTCCAACAGGCTGTTGCAGACGTTACCTTTATCAACCAACAACTGTCTTCGCTGGATCTATATTGAAGATTAGATGGCCGGGCCGAAAAGAATTACCAACAAGAAACTATGGGAACAAACCAACATGCAAGAACCAATCGCCAACCAACAAATATGCAGGAGAAAGTGGATTGAGATGGATTGGACACTCGCTCGCTGAGGAGGCCACTGGGTGACATCGCGCGCGCGTCAGGCCATAAGGGAAGAGGCGAGTGGGACGTCAGTGGAAGGGTCTGTCTGTCTGTCTGGATTCAACATACAACTTGGCACCGAAGTGCACCAGTTCGAGTTGCCACCTTCCAAATAGCACACAAAGGTAGACAAGAAGATGAGTGAAGAGAATCAATACAGTCTGACAAGTATAAGAGTGAAACAGAATGGGTAATGGTAGAAAGGAATATGAAAGATTACAGAGACTGAATACATCTGCGCTGGCCATTGACAACGATTTTGAGCCATGTCACCTATTGTCTCCAGCCATTGATTCCTAGAGTCCCGAGGGCCCCAACCCGGGAGTCTGCATCTCCCTACCTGACTCAGTTTAACTGTCAAGGATTTCATGGATTGATGTCATGTTTTTGTTTGGCCAATACTTACTCTTTTCCAACCTGGACCACCTATATCGGGTAGTAATGCCCGTCGTCGGGGGAGGCGATGGTTAGGCATGTGCAGCATGTGACCGACCCAGCCATCTCAATCTATGTAACTTTATAGCCTCGTCGATTGATTTTCCCTCTTTGCCCAACACTCTACACCTAACGTCAACATTACTTACCTTATTAAACCACCTAACGTGAGACAGAGATCGCAGACATCTATGGTCGAAAGCAGTCAACCTTTTCATGTCTTCAACTCGTATTGGCCATGTTTCAGAGTCATAGAGAAGGACGGAGCGAACTGGTGAGCAGTACACACGTCCCTTGGTTGATGGCAGGATGTCACGCCTACACCAGAGATCGGTGGTTTTTTGGCTTCCATCGTTTTTAGTGGACACAGTGAAGAGGGAGTGAGGAGCCATCAAGTAGAGGAGTTGCATCAGTGGGAGGAAGGCAAGGTAATAGAGATGAAGATGAAGACAAAGATAAGTGAGGATTAGAGAGGTTTTGTGTGCATTTCGGATTGTGAGGGCGTTTGTTACTTCCCGGCTGCCCACACCGTGGAAGTTGGTTGCGTGACCGCAGAGCCCAGGGGACAACTGCTTGAGGCCGGTCACACGCGGCTTGTTTTTGCTTGTTCTCTTTTGTTTGGTGTGTCTCAGCAGCATACTTATCACTCCTACCCTGTGACACGGCAGCAGGAAGCGCGGTCGTTGTTAATCCGGGCTACGGCCGATCCGGCATGATATTTTGTGAATTTGTTTGAATCATGGTAGTGGATGGGGTAGCTGCTTTTTGTTTAACCGCTATCCGAACAACCTGCCTGGCATGGTAGAACCTCAAGAGACATAAGTTTCAGCCAGTATAGCTTGATTAGGTCATTGCGGTGTTCAAGCCCGACCACCACGTCAAGGTAGCAGCTTTCGGTCGGGGAAGGGTGACATGGAGGAGATTGTGTAAAGAGGAGGAGTTGAAACAGTATGGACTAACATGGATGCAGGTGAAAAGTACAGCAGAAGGCAGAAGTGGCAAGTGGAGACGTGCAGTTGAAGCCCTATGTTCCACTAGGAACCCAAGGGAACAATAATAATGATCACAAAATTAATTTATTTTTTGTGCATTGAAGTTTCTCTAGAAGTTTGATAGCTTTAGTGGTATACAATCACTAGCCCCATGCCTGACCCTCCCTCTTTAGCCGGGTTTTGGACCGGCTGCAAACTAGTAAACAGCTACCTTCGCGCTCCCTACTGGAGATCAAATGGCCAGTAGGAATTAGTAACAAGAAACTCTGGTTGACTGGCTGGCTGGGAACAAACCTACAAGCAGGAGAAAATGGAGATGGACTGAACAGACATACGTTGAGAAGACCGTCGAATGACATTTCGCGACAGGGAATCATTATTGTTATTATTGTTCCCTTGGGTTCCTAGTAGAACATAGGGCTTCAACTGCACGTCTCCACTTGCTTCTGTTTCAACTCCTCTTCACACCATCTCCTCCATGTCACCCTTGCACTGACGTCCCACTCGCCGCTTCCCATTCTGTCGGGTTCCACTCGAGACATGGCCTGACTCGCGCACGATGTCACCAACCGGCCTTCTCAGCGAGTGTCCAATCCATCTCCACCTTCTCCTGCATATTTGTTGTTGTTGGGCGATTGGTTCTTGTTTTGTTTGTTCTCATAGTTTCTTGTTGGTGATTCTTTCTGGCTCGGCCATGTGATCTTCAGTATAGAACCAGCGAAGACAGTTGTTGGTTGATAAAGGTAACGTCTGCAACAGCCTGTTGGAAATATTCTTTGTGACCCGCTCGCCAAGTTTCTGATCCGTTCCGTATAGAAGAACTGACTGACTTGACGTTTGTATTGAAAATTCGACTGAATTTCATTGTTGATGCTGGCTGAGTGACGAAGATTTCGAGATTGGTTTCAGTTGGTTGATGAATGTGTGTGTTTCTCGCCTTCCCGATTTTCGCTCGATTTGACATTCTCGTCCGTTCCGATTGCCTGTAGTTGAAACAATGCTCCCTAGATAAGTGATGGAATGAAGTAACTTCTTTCAAATCCCTCCCGTTGATGGTGATTGATGCTGGATGTTGCTGCTGCTGTTGTTGTTGGCTGGTTATTTTCACGACCTCCGTCTTGTCTATGTTCACATGGAATTACTCGAGTGGAATCGCAATAGGAAGCAACGACTGGGTCGTCCGTGTGAGGATGACCTGAAGGAGATGAGAGATTATGCCCAATCGTGGATCTAGCCAGCTGAAGAGAACAAAGTGGAGATGTGTTGTTGGAGCCAGCCGTATGTTCCACCCAGAACCCAAGGAAATAATAATCACAACAAAAAAAAGAAAAGCAACAACCACAACAAGAAGGACAGAAAGAAAACAGCCATTACAAAAATAATAAATTTTTATTGATTTTTTTTTTAATTCATTCACTCGATAACATCATTTTCTAAGTGTTTAGCTACCAAGTCAATAACATCTGGTTTCATAAATGCATTAAGAATCTGTTCAATAGAAAGTCGATTTATTGTCATGTTATTGGAGGATGCGAAGTCCTCTGCTTCCGTTGGTTTCATTTCTTTTAAATATGGAAATAGATTATCCAACTTTTCTGATATTAAAGGTTTCCAATCGATTGTTGGATAAATTTTCGACCGTTTTACGCCTTTCCCCTCTTCTTCTTCTTTGTTTCCATTACATAATTTGAAAGAATTCTCACCATAAATTAATCCTAATTGATCAAGTAACTCTTTAAACCATGATTCCGTTTCAAAAGCTTTTAATTCAGTAGGGTGTAAAACATCTTTAGAGACAACAGATCGATTACAACAATTCGACAGTAATGAAAACCCAACTAGTTGAGTAAGTCCTTCTTTAAAACGTATTCTATTATCTAATGAAGGTTGATCAATCCATAAATTGACTGAACATGTGTAATTCGAGGAGGAGGTGGTGGTGGTCGTCGTCGTAGTCGTGGATTCAACAAAATGCCACCAATGCCTTGGAACATAAAGTATATCGCCTGGATGTAATGTGACACAATAAGGTGTTGCTTTCGTTAAAAGAGGATATTTTTTAAAGTTTGGCACTGGGAAATTCACTTTACTGAACACGGTTGATTCTTCTAACGGGATTCGAGATTCATACATATACAGATTATCTGATGGAGGGAATAATAGCCAACGTTTTGTCCCGTTGATTTGTACAACTAAATTAACCCCATATGTATCACGATGACATATAGTATGCGCTCTAGATGATCCAAGCCAAAATGTTGGTTTGATTATATCACTCGGTAAAAATGGAAATAACTGCTGAAAGGCTAAATCATTGATTAATGCTTGAAATTCATCCAATTGGGACATATATATGTAATCTGCGTAAGCCCACCATAATTCTTTAGGATATTTCGCAAAGGGATTACTCGCATCCTTTACTTCATCGTTTATCCAATCGGTGAATTCCCTGATGGTAGCATAAACTATAGGACAGTTTGGTTCCCATTGAATATGATCAGAGTGTTTTTTACCAAGACGAAATTTCAGTGTGTTATTGATTTTTTCTGAGAGATAATATAAACTCCAGGCTTGACACGCTTTCCAATGAGATGCGATACTGTGAGCTATGTATGGGTGTTCAGGATTAGGAAATTGTGAAAGTAGGCTATTAGCAATGTCAACCTATAGGTATTATATTGAGAAAATGTAGAAATATTTAGATGATAAGAAAATAGTTTGATTTCTAAGGACAAATGTAACACATCTTACAAGTTACTAACTAAGTGAAGCGAGAGGTTACAGGTAGTAGTAGATATTGTAAATTATTTAAAATAATCCCAGAGTTTAACTGGTGCATGGTGACTAGCAGTGGAATCCAGGATAACGCGCATTCCGCCCTATTTGGGACTCGTCAGCCAGTGGATGTACCTGCATTCCCCAGTGAGTGATGATGTTCCCACTGAGGCTTGAGCCCAGCGCCCATAGTTTCAAACGCCAGCCAAAGCGTTATCCACTAGACCACCTGTGCTACAAGAGAGCAACCTCTTTTACAACAGGTCATATTAATTATTGAATTGAATTTTAGATTTTCCCGTCGACTGATTGGACAGAAGTACTCGGTCTCAGGTTGACATGTCGGCCTCTTGTGCAGATGCTTCGACTATGTCTGGGTATGTAGTTAGAATTTATATAGAATTAATATGACCCATTGCACAAGAGGTGGCTCTCTTGTAGCGCAGGCGGTTTAGTGGATAACGCTTTGGCGTTTGAAGCTATGGGTACTGGGGTTCAAACCTCAGTGGGAACATCATCACTCACTGGGGAATGCAGGTACATCCAGATGACGAGTCCCAAATAGGACGAAATGCGTGTTATCCTGGATTCCACTGCTAGTCCCCATCCACCAGTTAAATTCTAATTACATGCCCAGACATAGTCGAAGCATCTGCACAAGAAGCCGACATGTTAACCTGAGACCGAGCAGTCTGGTTCAATCAATCGACGGGAAAATCTAAAATTCAATTAAATAATTCCAGCGTGTTTAAGAAATAAAAAAGTTAAAACAAGATCTGCTTTCTGAACGTTTCGCTGCGTAAAACGCGAAATTAATCGGATTTTATTAGCCATCAAAATGTATACAGTCAAAAATTACATAAATTGAAGTCAGCTTCTCATGTACCAACAGAAAAGTGTAAGCAGCCATCGGATATTTGAAATGACTAATGTCAGATTAGTGCGTCAGTGACACGGCGGTAGAATGTTCACCGACCACGCCTCATGTGGTCCGGGGTTCGATTCCCGGCCACCGACTCACTCCTTTACCTCGCTAAGCCAGTAATAAGACTGGCAAATAGTTAGTTTACACCATCTCTGGCGTAGACGTGATATCCAGCTGACTATTGACCAAAGGACATGTGCTCAGCAGTCCGCTCCGTCTTCCTTTATCACTGTGAGTGAGACCTGGCCATTGAGAGTGGAAGACATGAAAAGGCCGGTTAGCTGTCTTCGATCATAGGTGCCTGCGTTCTATTTCCCGTGTGAAGTGGTATAATAAGGTGAGCAATATTGAGGTTAGGCTTCGGTCGAGTGCCGGTGTGGTGAGAGCAGGCTGCTAGCCGATTGGTTGGCACTAATCTACGTTAAGGTCTAGGTCACTAATATGGGCCGTGAGAAAATATCAACAAGGCTGAGTCAACAACCAATCAGAAGCCTGCGTTTGTCTACCTAACTTCTGATAAACAACCAATCAGATGACTGCGCTTGTCTATAATAATGTAGTTGAAATATGTATAAATACGTGTTGATTTTCATAATAAAACGATCTGTTGCCTGGCCCTTGTCTTCTGTTGTTACATTTGGTGTCGCTGCCTACCGACAAATGAAAAGCCTATACCCTGCAGTTTTTGATGGAGACATATGGATCTTCGGGCAGGACTTCAAGGCTTCTGCGCAGTTGAGTGGCGTTCAAGATCTGCCAGCGATGGAGCTGCTACTTGAGACGCTGCTGGGAGGTCGGGCGAAAGCAGCATATGAAAGTGTCGGCCGAAGTATGGACGAATGTTCGACAGGGTCAGGCAAACAGTTTCCAAAGTGGGAAGGACCATATATGGTCACTTCGAGATGGGGTTACGCAGACACAGTCGCAATGGCGAACAATGAGAGGCGCGTGAACGTCAGCGAGCTCCAGAAATGGATACAGCGAGACAAGCCAACGATGACGCCTGCACCAAGTAGATCAAGCCGACTTCAGTCGCACGTATTTGACGGGGGGACGAGTGTGGTGAGAGCAGGCTGCTAGCCGATTGGTTGGCACTAATCTACGTTAAGGTCTAGGTCACTAATATGGGCCGTGAGAAAATATCAACAAGGCTGAGTCAACAACCAATCAGAAGCCTGCGTTTGTCTACCTAACTTCTGATAAACAACCAATCAGATGACTGCGCTTGTCTATAATAATGTAGTTGAAATATGTATAAATACGTGTTGATTTTCATAATAAAACGATCTGTTGCCTGGCCCTTGTCTTCTGTTGTTACACCGGGTAAGGAGAGGAAATCAATCGACGAGGTTATGAAATTACATCGACTGAGATGGTTAGGACATGTGCTATACACGCTTAGTCATCGCCTTCCTCGACTAACGGGCAATGTTAGCTGACATACGGTCAGGCTGGAAAAGAACTAGCGGCGGTCGAACCAAAACATGACACCAGTCAATGAAATCCACAACAGTTAGTTTAAGCCAGTCACGTAGGAAGGTGTAGACTTCCTGACTGGCTGGGGTCCTCGGGAGGTTGAAAACCAATGGTTGGAGGCAATCGATGACATGGCTGAAAGTGATCGTTCACAATGGCTAGCGCAGATGCATCCACTCCTTGTGACTTATAATTTCCAATGAAACTATATTGTTCTTCTTCGATATTACTATTCCTTTGTCTCACACCGCTGTTTACTGTCTCTCTATTATGCATTTCTTTTTACTTTCTTCTCTTGCTTCTTGTGCTATATGTGGGGAGTGTGGCGACTTGAACTGGTGCACATCGGTGCAAAGTTTTATGTCGAAAACAGACAGACAGACTGGTAAAGAGGGAAGATTGTTGGGAAGGAGGCTAGCAACTCCCATCATGTGAAAATAATCACCACTGTTACAGAAACTTCAAACCTCTAGCTTAAAGGTGCCGCCCTATGTTCCCTTTGGAATGTAAAGGAACAAAAAGAATGTCAAATTTTTACATGTGCGTATTTGTGTGTGCATATTGTTTCGTATGCGGCAAACAAAACCCATCAAAACATGATAATATTTCATAATATGGTCATAATATAGGATTGCATTTATTTTTCTCGGTCATCCCTTTCGCTTCATCAGAGTTCGCCATATAGCTGATAAGTCTATCCCCTCTCTCTTATCTACTGCATTCGATGTGGTTAAAAAAAAATACAAGGCTCAAGAGGACAGCGTTTCTTTATGTGAATAAAAGCCTCTTTCTAGAATTTCGACATTGTCAAAATCAATCTTATGTCCACTGTCTGTAGCATGCATCGATCGCAATATAGCTGAGCTTTTTTGCTAGACTTTTTAATTCTACTTCATTTCTAGGTGAACATTTTGTACACAGCCTGTGTTCATTCACTAGGACCTTCACTTGTCTACTGCTCTCGCCTATATAGCAAGCTTCATATTCTGAACACTATCCAATAGACCAAGATATTTCGTGAAACTTTGGGAACCATATCTTTGATATCCACTAGGGAAAGCATAAAGAAAATCGCCATACCATATATAAAGGACATCTCAGAAATCACCGCAAGACTCTTCAAACCTTTAGGAATTGACGTCACACACAAACCAATAAAATCACTTCACTCAGCCAACCCTATGTCAACCAAAAGATTCAACAGCGAAAGAAGATAAAACCAACATCATCTACAAAATAAATTGTAACAACTGCGAAAAACACTACATTGGCCAGAGTGGACGTCTCCTTCGTCTTCGCATCCGTAAGCATAAGCTAGCCTTCAAAATGCATACAGACAACCACGGACATCGATTCGACTGGGACAACCAACGTTCAGATATTAGACAGAGGAAACAACAAGAATGCTAGAGAATTTCTAGAAGCCTGGTATTCCAGTGAATCATCAGTCAATAGACACATCGAGATAAACAAAATTTATCAACCGACAAGAAGGAAATCTCATACACAAAGAGTCAAAGTTCAAGTCAAGGAAACAATCAGTTCCAATACAAATAGCCTAGAGGGTGTGAAAACACACAAAAACAACCAATCAAGACGTTGAAGCTTACCAGAAGAGATGACTAATAAACTCGTGGAGAAATCTAAAAGCTCACTTCAACGAATTGAAGATGTTGTCTAATAGGGCAATGAAAGCTTCGCAAATTAACTATCCATCCCAGAGAACACAACCAAATCAAAATCATCCACCTGAGCTACAAATCTTCCCCCATCATTTCTAAATAAATGCATAAAATAGTAAAACAATAAAACCGCAAAAAAAAACAGAATTGGATGGATTAATAATGTATGTAACAAAGCCGTTGGGAATAAGTTGATGTGTTATCTACACTCTGTTAAAGTAGACTTCTAAGAATTCTTCTGACATTCTCCTTTCTCCGCACACAACATACGTGCTAACTATGTGGCATAGTTGAATTTTGATATTTAACCCTATAAGAGTAGTAATTCTTATGAAATTTCTCCTGATTTCATTGAAAAACTAATTGACTGACTGGTTTCAACGTAGAACTACTTTGCACAGAAGTGTAGTAGCTCGAGTTGCCACGCTCTCCAAGAAGAGAAGAGAGTAAGAAGAGATGCAACCAAAGAGCGATAAGAAATAGAAGTTTGAATGAGGGGACAAGAACAGTCATATGGAAGAATCTGTCTCTGTCACTGTCTGTTTTCGACATAGAACCTTGCACAAATGTGCGGAAGTTCGAGTCGCCACATTCCGTGTAGCACGCGAAACAACAGAAGAAAGTACAAGAAAAGCATAATAGAAACAGTGAGCAGAGGTGTGAGACAAAGGAGTAATAAAGAAATACAAAACAGTTTCATTGAAGATCATAAGTCACAGGGAGTGGATGCATCTGCGCCACTGAGAACGATTTTGAGCTATGTCACCAATTGTTTCCAACCATAGATTTTTACCGTCCCGAGGACC